CTTACTAAATACATGGTCAAACACCAATTGCCAATATTAGAAATGTACAATTTCTTCCTGTAAACTCATGAGTACTAATAACTTTTATGGCATGATAATAGTAAATTTGCACACCTTTTACTAGTACTGACTTTAAAATAAATTAAATTCTGACATTGTTAATTACTGTTGATTTTAAAAATACAATAGATAAGAGCTTTAAAAAGTTATTGAATATAAAATGAGAATATGTTTTCTTCAATTAATTGAAAAATATTATTCTTGAAGCTTTTAAACCAATATTTAGTATTATGCTGTTTATTATAAATGTTTTATAATAGGACTAGATTCAAGATGCTTTCAATATTTTCTTTCTCTTACATAAATGATTACATCTGTATTGTGAATAATGAAAAAATTACTAGTTTAATTGTTTACATTGTTGTTGTTTAGTTTGTTGATCATGTTTATCCATCTTATGAGTATATTTCCTCCCATTTTTTGCTTATTTAATTTAAAGATTAAAAATATTAACCATACATGTCAGATTTGACAAGTCATTTTCTGTTTCAAAGCTCATCTACTTGTAAACATGAAAACTGGGCTGCTATCATGGCTGAAAGTAATGATCTTTAAACAATCAAACAGAATCATAAAGGAATTCGAGGGTTTGATGTCTTTTTGGTTATATTTTATCTTAGAATGTAATTAAACAATTACAACCTAATATAGCTAATTTATTTTTATAGACATTACAAACATAGTGAAGTGGTTAATAAGTTTTGACAAAAATCGATACCTGATGATAAAAATGCCAAAAAATCGGTGCTTAGAAAATTTGGTAACTATGAAATAAAAATCAATTGGAAATTGATTTTAGGGCCATTCTGGAATGGGGATTTGGGGGCTAAGACCCTTCCTGTATATTTTTTTAAAATAGAAATGAGGCTTTTTGCTTCTTTAAAAAAACACCTGATACATGAACTTAACTTTAACTTAGATAAATCGATTTTATTTGCTTGAAAACAATAGAGTATTGTAATTAAATAAATACATATTTAAAAAATATTTATTTCAAAATATTGGAGTGGGGTCTTAGCTCCCTACCCCCACTCCCCCTTCAGAAAGTACAGCCCTGCTATTGTTGCAGTTGGGTTTTATCTGGAATGGAAACCATGATTTTTTTAGTCACTACTTATTTAAATGTATAATGTGCATGTGTGTGTGTGTGTGTGTGGTGGGGGCTAGCCCCCTCCAGAAAGCATGGCCCTGGCATTGTTGTAGTGGGATTTTATCTAGACCCCATTGTTAATAATACTTTTTAAAAAATATTGGGGAAGGAGGCCTAGCCCCATAAAACTTCTTTCTGCAAGTATGACCCTGAGTGGTATTGTTGTAATGGGGTTTTATCTGGACTCCACAATTTTCACTTATTTAAAATATAGGGGGGGGGGGGTCTTAGCCCCCAAATTCCCACTCCAGAATGGCCTTAGAATCAATTTTTAATCGACTTTCATTGTTACCGAATTTTCCTAAATTCATTTTTTACAAAAAAAAAAAAAAACATTCAAAAAGGAATGGTAAAACATTTGACATGTATACATTTTTTTATAGTCTTTAGAGCAGTGGTTCTCAACCTTTTTTACATGGCTGCACACCATTGAGTTCTTTAAATTTTCGCAGCACACCTATCACAAAAAATAAATATTTTCCACTTATAAAGCCTTTTTACAATAAAATAATAAAAAAAACAAAGAATATTATATAAGAAGAATTTTTATTCACATAAATCAACATATCCTGTATTCAATATCGGCTATAAAATAATAATGGTGAGTGGGACAGTTATGCCTGATGCTTCTTGACTATTGCTGCAATATTTGGGTGAATGTGAGAAACACACTCTTAACTCTTCTTCAATATTTTTAAGTCATTCACGTTTTTTATTTTTAATGTTGTTTAGGTAAGAAAATCCCAGTTCACAATGTTGAGAATTGCAGTAAGATTTTGATGGTTTTTTACTTAGAGTTGGATACTCTTCCATAACAGAAATCCAAAAGGCGTCCAATGGCAGTTGTGTTCAATTTGAGACCACGATCACTGGAAAGGCTTGCTAATTCTTCCTCTTCAGATAACTCAAAATTGAAAAGGTTGATGACTGATAAATCTAGGAACGGATTGTGAATCCAATCAAATTCTTCAATGCTGATTGAGGGAAAATAATCTTCAATTTTATTTTCTAAACATGTCAAATGCTCACTAATAATGGGAATCATCTTGGTAACACAGGTTTTGCGAACTAAGGGAAATATATCCAAATCATCTACCTTCATACTTTTCTTCCATATTGCAACTTTTTTCTTAAAAGCAACTAATTTATCTGTTGCCATAAGAATATTTTCATTTCTGCCTTGCATATTGCTGTTCAGACTATTGAGATGTCTAAATATCTCATTTAAGTACTCTATTTTGGACATCCACAATTCATTTTTAAGGTTTTTACAAAATCTATTCAAGTTTTTCATTTTCAAAAAAAATAAGAAGTTCTTTCTGAAGCTCAATTACGTGAGATAGCACATTTCCATGCGATAACCATCTTACTTCTGTGTGCAATAGTAAACGAACATAATGAGAATTCATATCCTTGCACAGTAACTCAAAAATTCTGAACTTCAAAGGCCGAGTTTTTATGAAATTTACCATTTCAGTCACTTGATTCATCACCTCTTTTAGTTCTTTGAAACTAATACCTCTCTGTGTAAAAAACAATGAGTTCGCACGATGTAAGGATTCTGTTTTTCTACCAAAGATGCAAAACCTTTTACAGAACCAACCATTGATGGTGCTCCATTGGTACATATTCCCACACATAAATCCCAGGATAGGCCATATTTTTCGAGGCATATTGTGATTGTATCAAAAATATCTTGACCTTTTGTAGTTGTGGGTAACTGTTTGCAGCATAGAAATTGATTAATTATGGCATCTTCATCGATGACACATATAAATGCAATTAACTGAGCATGATTACTGATGTCAGTGGACTCATCAATTTGGAGAGCAAACAGACTATTTTGAAATTTGGATATTACACTTTCCTCAATATTATCAGACAAGTCAAGAATCCTTCACTGAATTGTATTGTTTGAAAGAGGGATCCTGCTAATTTCTTGTTCGGCCTTATCACCAAGCATAATTTTCACCATCTTTTTGCATGCTGGAAGGATCACTGATTCTGCAAGAACATGAGACTTCGATTTAAGAGCAATAATTTCAGCCACCTCATATGAAGTTAACTGAGCTTTTTCAGACATGGTTACTGTTAAATAGTTGACTTTGCCTTGCATTTGATTCTAATAACCGTTGAAAATAATCGACATTTTTAGTTTGAAGGCTAGGATGATTAGTAATAAGATGTCTTTTCATTTTACTTCATTAGACAGTGTTTGGCCGCAAACAACACATAGCGGAGAAGGAATCTGTGTATCTCCAGTCCAGTGAAATCCAAATTTCAAGTAATCATCACTATACAACCGGTGAACTTTTGGTTTTTTAAATGACGTTGTAGAATTATTCTTGTCACCATCACCTTTTTTTTTCAGAAACTTGTCCATAATTAAGGGTAAATTGAATCTAAAATTGAAAAAATAAATCTAAAAGAATTTTTATTATATTTAATTTGTTTTTTGTTTGTCTTACTAAAACTTTAATTTACAACGCCTAAATATTTAATAAAAATATCTACAAAGAATCTGTAAATATTGTGAACGAGATATATAGATGATATAAACTGGTGATAATACAATACCTAAATTTTTAACGATTCTGATTCCTAACCAATATTACTTAAATGTAATTGAGCGGTGTCATCATGATTAAGAAATTGAATGTCTTTATTAAACAAAATGAAATTAAATGGCTTCTAGGTATTATCTCTTTGCGGCACACCAGTAATCATTCCACGGCACACTAATGTGCTGCGGTACAGTGGTTGGGAACCATTGTTCTAGAGAATATAAATCACATCTTTTTAAAATCTTCCGAGGATATTTACATGCTCTGAATAATAAAAAAAAAATGGAATGAAGAAAGAAAACTAAAAAACAGTATAATGGTGAAAGATTAAGTTGTTTTTCTTATTAATTAAAATATACTTTTCACATTTTTGAAGGGAAAAAGTTAATTTTTAAAAGATTTTTGTTTTGTTTTTTTAATGAAAATTGAAAATTATTGAAGGCTAAATTTTTTTTATTTATACTTTGAAAACTCTGGGTGGAAACATATTCAACTAAGATTGACAAATCAAAAATATAAATTATAACACAATTCATGATCACAAAGCATTTTAAATTATTAATAATAATAGAATATTGAAATTATTTTTTCTCGCATTTAGAGAGGCTTAACAGTCTCAAAGTCATCGCCATGGAATACATTGTCAGAGTAAATTTGTTCATTTCTTTTTAATTTTCATTAAGTTTCTAGTTGCTAATAAATAATTAAATAAAATAAACTAACTAATAGTTCTTGATTTTTTAATTTTTGAAAAAAATTTCTCATTTTTATTTTTCCGTATTTTCACAGGCATAGGCAGGAAATATTGACAAGTGCATCAGTTATTGACAGGAGTGGAAAGGAGAGGTTAATATATGAATCTTTTGATCTATCGTAGCCTGGTTACTCTGTACACTTGACCTAGGTAGACACTTTGACCATGACCTTTTGTGTTCCCTACAAACTGCAATTTAATTTAATTTAGTTTCATGATCGACCTAATGACGTTTTAGTTCTTTTTGTATTATGAACCTAGTTGTAATACACTTTGTGACCATACTTTCATATTTTGTAGAAAATCTCAGTTTTTTTCTTGAGTTTTTTAGGATTTTGTGAGACCTGTGGTTGTTGTTACACTCCCTTCGTATAACCTGGTGACTTCTCACCCAATTCAAAAGAGAGAGGAGGAGGAGAAATGCAAGATCCTGGCCATTGTGGCCAGGGTGCTTGGACAGGCTACGTAAGTTATGTTTTTTTTTTTGGATGCTAGTTGGGCTTTCCTATCTATTCCTACTAATGGCACACTCTTGCCTTTTTACTTCCGGTATTCATGGCCTTTATTGCATCTGGCTACACCTTGGTCCCTGCTTCCAGCATCACTTTCTTCAACCTAACCCACTTGATTGACGGTGTAAACAGACCTGCTCACTACAGTCCCAAACTTCTGGCTGCACATTGGTCTCTACTCACAACATGCATACTGTTCCAGGTTTTAATAACCTATCCTGTACACTATGGTTATAACACTATGTGAGATTCACCACTGGACCTGGCTAGCAACTACGCAATGCCAGCACTGGACATTGGATTTAACCATCAACATGGCTACATCACGGTCCCAACTCCTGGCATCACTTTCTTCAACCTAACTCACCTGGTTGATTGTTAACAGACATGCTCACTACAGCCCTGAACTTCAGCATGCATATCGTTCCAGACTCTAATAACCTACTGTCACGGCCGCCTTTGGCAGCTCAATAAAGCGGAAGAGAACTGGGCACTTCAACCTTGACCTTTTGATTGTGTTCCCTACACACTGGTAATTTAGTTTTAGAGATGAGCTAATTACCTTTTAGTACGTTGGTATTACGAACCTAGTCATAATAAACCTCTTAGCATTTTTAGACCTTAGTTTTTGTGTAGCAAATCTCAACTCATTTTTTAGAGAGAATTTTTAGCATTTTAGTGAGACCGGGTCCGTTGTTGGTCTATGACCAGCTAAGACCAGCTTGGACTGTGAAAACACTTGGGTCCCCATGTTAAAAACAGACCTTGTGTCACAACCTGACTCAGTGGCACCCAGGCATCTGAACGGTTGGTACACAGGCTCCTTTGTATTAAGTTACACTCCCATTTTTTTTTGTCTGCCAACTGGACACGAGTTGGATCTTTCTCTCTTTACTTTGTCTTCTTACTTCTGGCTCCTTGCCAATGTTCAACTTTCGGCATTCCGTCCGCACTGGCTGCCTGCACGTCGTCCGTAACCTTTCCCGTACACTACAGTTATGATTACTACAGGAGGTTTTGATATCGGACTTGACCAGCAGACACGCAATGCCAGCATTTGACATTCGATATGCCCAACAACATTGTAACGCCAGCTTCCCGGCACCGACCAGATGCTGATACCGAGCACTGCGTCGCAACGCCAGCTCCCCATTCCAGCCCGACATGTCCAGTCCGAAACAAGACCAGCAGCAATCATCTGCGACGACCAGCCAACCTTTCCTGCATACTCTCGGTTGTAATTACTACGGGAGGTTTCGACACTGACATTGACCAGCTATGCTTGCACTGCAATGTCCAACCGTCGACACGACCGGAACATCTGCACCTCGACTCCAACTGTCGACTTGAATGGAACAAACGCACCTCAGCATCCCATTGTTGACCTCAACGTCCAACCGTCGACACAACCTGAATGCTTGCAATCTCTTTCCAACCATCGACACGACCAATATACCCCATCGTCTCTTTTTTATAAAATAAACTTAGCATTAATCATACATATCCTCGTTCTGTTGTCCATTTTGTTTCATGTCTTTAATACGAAAAACGTTAGCGGGCCTCTTGTGACCTTCATCTTACAATACGGGGATGCTTGGGCTGTGGTCTCATATCGCGCCCTCTCCAGTGGGTTTGCTACACTACGGTTATAATTCTATGGAAGGTTCACCACTGGAACCAACCAGCAACAACGCAAGGCCATTGGATTTTTAGCAACATAATGCCAGCACAGGACATTGGTTTTTGACCAGCAACAGCACAACACCTGCATCAGGCATCAGAATTAACTGGTCCCTTCAACACTTTTCCAGACACTCATGCTAACCTAATCTACAACGACCCTGGTCTGTATTTGTAAATATTTTATATTCACTTTTAATATACTCGTTCTATTGTCCATTTTGTTTCACCTATAAGATTTCACGTTAAGTTTATTAGAAAAGTTTATAAGATGAAACATTTTTTCTAAATTGACACACAGTCTAAAAGTAGTCTGTCAATTAAGTTGATTTTTCGTCATTTTTCTGACTCGGGAAGAATTGAATTTATCAGGTAAAAACAGCATGCAAATAAAAAACAGTTATTAAAAACAAAAGTACACATTAAATTTCTTTAATTGGTGAATTACTGAATTAATTCTGTGATGAAACCATTTTATAATGAAAAGAATGATGCTGATTTTATGCCGACTTTTCTCGGCTGAATGTTTCATGACAAATGAAAATCAATAAAAATAAAATAAAAATGTCAAGAGACAAAAGAAAGATCCTAGCAATACATGCAACAGGAACTTGACAGATACACACCGTTTTTCTGTCTGGTAGCAGAAACCACGTATATAAAATGCCACGACTTAGATTTAGTAGAACTCCTACGTGTCAAAATACTTCTGTGGTTAGCGTTAGAGATCGTGTATCGATCTCCCAATTAACTTGGCCGAAACAAACTGTTCTTTTTTATCTTCACAATTAAATCTCCCTTAATTTAAAAAAAAATGCGATTCTTCTCTTGGGTTTGAAACTTTGAAGTTATACTTGGCTACAAAAAAAAAAAAAACGAAAAAAAAGAAACAACAAAAAACCCCCAGTACAATGAATGTTTTTGTCACTAGTTTTCAATCGAACTCGCACGAACGAATTGGCTGTAAGACTAAATTTACTAATTATCACTGTATGATGATTTTGTTTAAAAGCTTAAAATACACTAAAACGACAAAAAAAAAAAAACATCAAAAAAAGAAACATCAAAAAACAAATAAAAAACAATGAACAACTAGTAAGAAATAAAATTTAACATTTTTAAAATCACGCCTCAACTGACTTCGCCGGTTGGAAGATTGATAAACTAGAGTAGACTCCACTTAAGTTAATAATAGTTAATATTATTAACTATTACTTAATTTAATAATAATTAAGTATTGAATTTCATACTACAGAATTTTTTAATGTTTTTCGTCTTCATTAAAAATTCAAATTTATGGCATTATTATTGATTGAGAGAAAGTTCTTGGATTGTAACTAAAAAGAGAAAAGGAAATTAAAATTAGACCAAAATACGTATCAATTCGGAAAAACTTCAGTTTCTGAGTGAAAAAAAAAAAGAAAAAACAAACAAACCCCAAAACAAAAGAAAAGAAAAAACAATGCGTCATAATAACGATGATGACAATGACATTATTGTTAAAAAAAAAGTAAACAAACATTACTGGTGTGGCATCTTTTTATTTTTATGACATTTAAAAATCTTTTTTTTTTCCAAAAAATACTTTAACTTTGTTATGCTCATTTTCGTTTACATTTTTAATTTTATTTTTCTATTTTAGAAGAATTTAAGACAAGAAGATTCAAATTAATCAATTGTTTTGTTTTCATAAGTCAGTTGGGACCCCCCCCCCCAAAAAAAAAAACAAGTAGTAATTTTAAAACTCATTCAATTAATTATTAATGGCATCTGTCAGTCCCGGGATCTACGCCGGGAGAGATATGCAGGGCGCAGGCCTAAGCAAGGTTTTCTACGAGAGGTCAGCAGTTGCCCATGCAGCATATCTCCCCTCTCCCCACTATCGATGTTGTCCAAGGGAATATTAATAATCAGTCAAATTTAAATAGACTACCTCGATGTTACGCAGTTAAAGTTCGGAAAATGTGAACATCGCGCGCATGCAAACTGAATAGTTCAATTCAATCAAAGTAAGTAAGTAGGAAACTAAAATCTCCCGCTGGGGTCACTGTTGCCCGAAGAACTACATTTTACAACAGAAACGAGGCGTAATACTTGTTTTTATAAATTTCCATTCATATCCATTTTTTTTTAGGAAAATATTTTATTTTTAATTTAAACATTTTTTCTTTTAAATCAAAATAAATCTAACATACAGACAGTATCCAATAGACAGCAATATGAAGAAAGTGTCAATAAAAGAATTTTTTGAATTGAACGGAAATAATGACTTAATTAAAAGTTTATGTTAAGTTCCAAACTGTTTTAGTTAGAATCACCCCCCCCCCCAAAAAAAAAAAAAAAAAAAAAAATTTGAAAGAAAAAATGTAGCCACACCCATTGGTGTCAACAATTCTAAACAAAGAAAAATAAATATTATGACACGCAGCATTATATATTTTAGTTTACTCCTTATAGTTTATTTTTTTTTCTTGAAATCAAGAAAATTTAAAACTAATTTTAATTATGTCCGTTTAATTTAGAGACGACATCTTGCCTTTCTAGCATTAGTTGTGCAAAGTAAAGTAAAAGGCGTAACGTGAACAAAATCCGGACCGGAAGTTGCCGGTGTTTGACGCGCGCTTCTTAAAAGTAAACAAACTGCTCGGGTCAGCTTATCCCTTCTGCTCCTTTTTTTTTTTTCAAGCGCAATATGAAATTGTTGAACGTGGATCTAACAGATTTATGAAATTCCTCTCCAAACCCTGTTTCAAACCCTTAAAGCTTCTTTGCGCCCATTCATACGCTCCATTTCGGTATTTCGCGGAGAGGTAAGCGATAAAAAAACAAAAATCAAAACAAAACAAAAAAAGACAAAAACGATCGCCTTTTAGTTATTTCTTCAAAAGCTGAATCGAGAATCTCTGTAGAGTTGCACCCACTACTGACTTATGACTGCCTCATTTGCTGTTAGCAGCAGTTGGATATTATTATGCATTGTCCTGCACTTTATAATATATTCTACGCGTAAGGTTGTGGGTACTGCTTCTTAAATGAGTTTTAAAGCGAGTGTGTGATCTAGCAAGTCTAAAGAACATCAAAAACTTTAATTTCATTAAAAAAAAAGCAACAAAAAAAATTTAAAATAATAACGTAATTTATTTTTATAAAAATCGATCTGATTATGATTTTTATTTTAATTTCTTGTACTTTTGTTTCATCGACATATTTTTGTTAGGAACTTATCCAGGTATTCATTTGGATGAAAAAAAAAACCCCAAAAAACAAAACTTTTTTTCGTCTTGATCATCAGGTGTCTCAAATTTAAAATCGAAAAAAAAAAAAAAAATTAAAAAACTAAGGACTTTTGTCTGTCTTTTTTTAAATAATGCGATGAATTTTTAGTTTTTAAACACTTGAATTTTAACAATTAAAATATAAATCTTTTTTCATAGAAACTTTAGATATTTTGTTTAATTTTCATATTTTTCTCGACTGAAGGAAAAAGTTATAAAAACTGTAATTAAATTAAATTCTATTTTTTATGCTGTAATTTTCTCTCTCAATTCTTGATTTTTCCCTATGATTGGGAAACAACATTTTCGAAAATTTGTCAATCATGAGTTAAAAACAAATCTCATTCAATGTTTTTGGCTGTAATGTTGGTATTTTACACACATGTATTGATCAAACAAATAAGAATAAGTCGGTATTTTTTTTTACTTTTCAAAACTTTAAGTTATTTTCTCTTCGTATTTCATTTACAATGTCGTTGGAAAGCAAAATTTTTCCGACAACTCTACAATTCAACTTTTATCAATAAAGATTGTCAAAATTCACATTACTTCATGGATAATTTGTTGATCAATAAATAGGTAGACTTTTTTTTTGTTTATGTTTTATTTATATGTGGTTGATTTTTCTCATTTTTTTTTAACTTGATGATAATTACAAGGTGTCATTCATTTAATAAATAAATGCAAATGAAAAATGTTATTAAATTTATTTCCTTTCCTTTATGAAAGTAAATTTGAAAAACCACAAGAAAAAGAAAACGTGCTGCTAGTTTGTTCCACCGTACATAGTTATTTTTTTCATTTAAGAAAAGTATTTTCTTTGGGATCCCCTTTTAATTTTTCTTAGTAAGTATGTTCACAAGTTGTAGGAAATATTAGACGTTTTTCTTTCTAAGAAAAATTTAGTTTCATTTATTTATGATTTGACAAAGTTAATTTGCGAAAAGCTGAATATTTTCATACTCGTACTTTTATCTATCGTTTTTTTTGTGGTTTCTACTAAAAACTAAATCAGTGATTCTATCACAAAAAAGTGTAATTTTTCTAATGAGAAGCAGGATAAAAAGATCTGAAAGTAATTTGAAAAGAGAGTTTTTCTAAGTTTCGGCACGCACTGGTAAATAAATTAATTTTAAAACTTGAGTTTCAGTAAAAATTTCAACACTAAATTTATTTTCTCAATTGGAAATTGTAAAATACCTTTATTTTTACTTTTTCTCTATTCAGTGAAGACGAAGAGCTTTCTTTATTTTTGCTTCATTTTTGAAGAAAAGAAACTTTAGAAAACCTATCTTTTTAACTGCAAAATATCTTTGTCTATAAAACTTAAAAAGGAGAGAAAAAAAGAGCATGCAGTCGCCCTACCCTGTTGCTCTTTTGAGTCAATTATTTTTTTTTTTCTCTTTCTCTCTGTGTTTAGCCTCAACTGCGCCGGTTTCCTCACTCACATCATTTCAACCTCCTCCCACGTCTAGTCACTTGGTGCATATTTGTATAACTTCCACACCTGCCTTTTTTTTTTTTTTTAACTTCTCCAAAACCAACCAATTACTATCTCCTCGGTAGGAGAGGTATCATTTTTTTATTTCTCCTACCAACCAGTTTACCTGACTTTCGTAACTTTTTCCATTTAGGAAAAATCACATTTTAGTCCTTTTGAAATAAGATAAACTTTTGGATTCTAATTTTGATTAACTGTAGAAGTGTTAAAGTAGGAAGAGATTAAAAAATAAAATTAATTTCCATCCATAATTTCTGAAAGTTTCTAAAATTGCCAAGTAAGGGAAACAACTAAATTACTAACTAATAAATACTAATGGAAACAGAGATCCTGACTAGAATATTACTTTTAAATGAAAATGTTTTGAAATTCCATAACGTATGTTTTTTGGGAGCGGGACAGACGTTGTGCATACATTTGGAACAGAAACCAGTTAATTTTAGCGTTAGTATTAGATCTCATTGAGATTTGTTTTTATATATTTGTACACTTGATAAATAAGTTTATAAGCTTTTGTTAAAATAAGAAAATAGAATTCTTTAGAACATCATACATGTTTTCTAAATGAATTAAGATGTCAACTAACAAGTTTACTTTACAGGAAGGTACTGTGCTTGAATCAAAATATTAACTAGTTGATGGCAGGTGACATGAACAATTTAAGATAGCATGTGAAATAACTTTTAATTGAATATGCTGACAGCTCAGATATAAAATGTGAGTTTTCCAGTAGTTAGAGTGACCCTCATTTAGGGAACTTTATAAACACACAACTACAATCTCATGTACTGTAGATTTCTTTCATAATAGAAAAAATATATTTGTAATTTTTTTTTTATTTTACTGGAAACCTCTGTTAACCTTTATTACTGTAGGTGACTATTTTTGCCAAGCAAAATGTTAGTCCTGTCAATGTTAAATGTGAATATGAATTTCTTGGTTATGTAGTCATATCCTTCTATGGCAACACCTAAAACAATCTTGACTGAAATTGAGAGCCAGGTTACTATAATTTCAAATATATAAAGCACTATCTTTTGAGAGGATTCCATATACAGCAAAAGTGGAAGATTTATTTAAAGATAATGTAGAGTGCTGAATGTTAATATTGCAATAATTAGTTAATCATATTTTTTTAGTTTAAAAATCTTTCCTTATTTGACAACTTAAAGTTTGAAGAATGTCTTTATTGTCTACATTTATTTTGCAACTCATAAACTTACCATCTAGTTTTCACTGATTCCTTTCTTACAGTTGTACTTGTTTCATAGCATAAAGCATTTAGATTTGATACTCAGAAATTCACAGATTGAGCTTTTGTATCTAACAGGGTTAATGGTATGTATTAATCTCATTGCTTTTGAGTGTAGTAATTATTCAGACTACTTGTATATCTTTAATTAACTAAGATGTGTTATCTCCCTTCCATTTTCTTGTTGCAATAGGGTTAAATGATAAATACATTGTGCTACATTTTTTTTCAGTTAGTGAATTTGATTCAAACAGGTATTATTAGTCTTTTGTGACTATTCTGGGGTTAAGATAGTCATAAATGTCAACATTTTGTAAACACATGCAGCTTATCAAAGTAATTAATATACATTATTTGGTATTTTGTTTATGTTTAAAATATTTTAAAATTAAATTAAGATTGTTGTATGTACTAGAGAGAAAGTTAGGATATTACACATAATATCATATAATTATATTTTTTGTGTGAATTAATATCAATTTTACATTTGCTTATATGTAAAATTTTTTCCTTCTAGTTTAGTTATGCCTATTAAAAATGGTATTTGAATTATATTTGTGTAAATGGAAAATAACTTATAACTAGTTATGGTTATTTGAGTACAATCTTCAAACCTGCTGCTTGGAAATTGAGAAAATAAACTCGTCTAAAAAGATGATAGTGTACCAAAACCTCATGGGTCTGTCTATCATCACAATTACCTGCTGCTTTCTCTGTTGATAGTTGACAGATTTAAGTGATTTTTTGGTGGTTGTTCTGCCATAATAACCTGTTGAATGATTATTCTGTACCATTGTTCCTGTGTTGATGTAGGCATACTGTGTGGTTTTGCAACAGAACTTTCTTTTCAATTCACTATCTTATGACATGAATATATACTTCTGATGGCCTATTTGGATCTGAACAAGATTCTTTCATTAGTAAATTGTAGAATCATGCAATTTACAGTTAAAAGTAGTAGTCTCAATTTCAATATTATTTGACACTGTCTCATTCCATATTTGGATTGACAAACAATTTTCTATATTTCTGCAATATGAGACATTTTGATCTGATTGTGCATTTACTTCTAGATTTAGAGTTAGTTGAGGGATTCTTAAGTAGATCTTTAAATGCCAAACCTATTTAAATTCTGTCTTCAGGATTGGTCCCAATGACCTTCTGGATATTATTGAGATAATAGGCCTTGAACACTGACTCTTTCCACTTTTGCATTAACCTCTTCCTTGGTGTATATTTTTCAGACGCTGATGAATAAACATGTCCAAAACCTTAAAAACCAGATACAGATGTATTTATACATCGATTTTGATTCTTTTAATGCCCTTCTGAGCTTGAAATGAATCCAGTTGTCAACTCGTATGTCTGGTAAAGGTGTTAGCCACCACTCAGGAACTTCAGGATTCCTCAGTTTCCTAGTTATTATATTAAAAACAAATAAAAAAAATGTTTTTCACAAAATAATTGGTTGAAAAGAGGTTAACCAGTAATATGCCTCACTTGAAATATGACAGTTCCAATTCTCCCAGAGTAAAAGTACTTTGTGGTATGATTGTGCAATTATTTCTCTTGTATTTTTATGACAAACTGAATAATTGTCAGTGAATATTACCTTTATTAAATGTCATTATGATCATTCATTGTGTAATGTATGTATTTTACTTAGTTTGCTGTATCTAGAAAATATTTGAATACTTTGATAGATATCGAAACTTAACAGATATGTTTCTAGGATTAATATATATATGCAAAATTATAATTAAAAAATTAGTTTTACTTCCCCATTATTTTAATGATTGAGGTTGACTTTGATAAATTGAGTCAGTGTATTAGAAAATAAATTTTAAAGGAAGGCTACAATATGTAAAGGCTGTATATTTTTGTCAGAAACTATTAATTGATGTTCTCTTTTCTTTTATTCTTGGCAGCTTTAAACATGAAATTCCATGTCACCTTTGGTTTCAAGAAGAAAGTGATTGAAGTTGTTTACCCTCATGTCATCCGTAGTGTTATTACACGATCATTCAACCTTCCCATTTCAAACTTCAACATTCAAAAATGGTATGATGAATGGCATGACTGGGTTGATGTAGACCCACCTGAGCTAACAGACGGAGACCGGCTTAACCTTGTTATGAACCCTCCAGAATTAGTGATGGGTCTGAGCCCTGGAGCTAGCGGGGTTATAGGCCATAGCCCAGCAACTCACTGCGCAAGCCCCATGGTCAATACGCCAATAGTTACAAGCAATAATTTCATATCCAACAATTCTGTGGTTACCAACAGTTCTATCATGGCAAATAGCACAATGGTAAGAGCATATTTTTTTTTATTTCTTTATAAATTTTGGAGAATATTTGTCTGTCTCATCATACTTATTATAAAACCCAGGTTGTGTGTGTGTGTGTGTCTGTATGTTTATATATTGGATCGGATTTCCTAAATTTTTCAACCGATTTCAACAAAACTTCACAGGACTACGTAAAATTACTATGTGGTGGTTCTAACAGCGCCAAAACTTGGAAAAACATAATTGTTTTTGCACAAAATCAATTTGAAAACACAATTAAGAGGTATCGCTGTGAGAATGAAAGGGGGACAACTCATATCGAGTTATACTTATAAAATCCAGGTTGTGTGTGTGTGTGTGTGTTGGTTTATATATAGGATTGGATTTCCTACATTTTTCAACCGATTTCAACAAAACTTCACTTTTTTTTGGCAGGTAGTGTCTCTTATTGTCTTGCACATTTTTTTCTTTATATTTTACATTCAGAATGCTTTAAAAAATTCCATTTCCATTTTATAATAAAATTCTATTCAATCGGTAGACTCATAACGATTGAAAACAATGTTTTTGTTTGAGTTTGACCAATTTGTAAAAAAAAAAAAAAAAGGCGGACATGAGACAGAACCTGGGACGAGCACAACTGGTCGCGACTTGCCTTGTCCCCGCCAAAAAAGAGCCTGTATTTGCTTAGCATGTAAAGCTACTGCAGTTGAAATGAGGGAGAAAAAAGCACTTACCACTCTGCCATAATCCGTCCTCGGCCAGATAACGTAAAAAAGAATGAGGGTGGACTTGCATTGCATTTTTATGCAATAAAGATGCAATGCATTATGGGACATGGACGCAATGAATTATGGGATCACATGAAGATGCAAGGGATTATGGGTATATGGACAAATATAAAAGCAACTACTTTTTTTTTTTTCCCCTAGTGGGGCAGTTCTTCTAGTGATGTTCATGGTGGGTGGCAAGAACAGTCTGTTAGTGTGATTTTGAGACAGAACTCAAGAAGGAATGACTCAAGGTTGAAATACCAGCTGGGAGAGCTTGAATTTACTTGCTGGTTGCTGTTTTCTTTATTCGCCTCACATATTCCATTGGACATGCTGACTGCTCATAGCAGTATTACATTTGTTATCACTTCTACTTGACAATACTCTTCAATTTTCTTATAATTTTGTTGGAATGGCTCCAGAAAGCACAAATATCAATCACCAACAATTATATACTGGACTCACCAACACACACACACTTAATACATCTTTCCCACATGTCTTAGCCTCCTCCTCAGACATCATAACCCTTGTTGTAGCCAAATTCAATGCTAAATACTTTGTTTCAATTCTATATCTAGCCACAGATCCAACCTCATGTTGCACCCTAGGATACAGAATAGGTAAATTTATCACTTGAAACATCTCAAAGGTGCCATCCCTATCTAACAATGAGATGGCCATCAATACCAATAGCTTGCTGTTCTCCAGCAGAGTGACACAGCCCAAAGCACTATAGGACTTCCAAAGTTTGGTTGCCAAGTCCGCTGGTAACATCAAGTGATGTGGGAGTTTTTTTTCTGTATTGTCAATAACAATTCTTTTAAGTGACGAGGTATGACTATATTAATCACACTCTATTAACAATCAACATTTGCTGAGAATACTGCTGAAAAATTCCCTCTAAGGTCCTCAGCTTTGTCCTTACTAGCTCTGATGTTATCTATCTCTTCTCAGAGAGTAACCATGTTATCAATTAACCACTTTATGCTGTCACAATTTTCTGCCAACTCTATTCAAGTTACATTTAAAATCAATACACTCTCTCTCTGGCCACTTGTGCCAGGGTCTTTTGATTTGCTTCCTTTAGTTTGTCTAATAAATTTAACATCCTCTTCAGATACCATTTCAAACAATGCAACTTAATGTGTTTCCTACTATTGGCAGCACTGACCACTTTTCACAAGTCTGTAACAGCAACACCCACCTGAAATAGAAGTTCATTTCTTTACATTGCCTTTTCATCATTTCCATCTCCTGACCTAGTGAAAATAACAACCAAGTATAGTCCTCATCCCTCAAATATCACTGGGCTACATGTGTTCTAGCCTGGGTTAGTTCTTGCATTTCCTCCCTCAATTTGTTTAACAATTTGTTGTACAGTTTTTAATCAATTCCCAGTGTAATCAGCCATTTAGACCCGGTTATAATTACCTCACTTGTCTTTTTAATTATGGTATTCTTACTTTGCCTCCAGGCAATGCTTGGCAAATATCATTAAGATGATCACCAGAATCTTTCTCAAGTCCATCCCTGCAAGACACAATGCATTTCCAATTGTTACATAATGTGGGAAGCATTGAATTCATAGTTATTGTTTCCTATATAAATTTTAAGCCTAAACATCAAGTGCCATCCTTGCACACCCACTGGTTGCAATCAAAAATAGAGGGGTTGCACTTTCCCCTCTGCTGCAGACTGCACTGCCAGATATAAAAAAAAAAAAGGACTGTTTGACACCGATGACTTGTCAACAAACTTTCTTATTTACTACGGCTGATGGCCCATTCATTCATAATAATACTATGAATGAATTTGCTGGAACTCCCTTTTTACAGTGGGATATTTTTTATCTGTGCTTGGTGATCAGCACCTATATAACCTTATCACCTTCTGTTATCATGCTAACTTATAATTGCTGACTACTGTTACTATATTCAAGACCAATTCATTCATAAAGATCTCAAAACCTGTATTTTTTTTTTTTTTTTACTTTTTATTTTTGATAAAATAATTTTTATTCCTTTGAGCTTCTCTTCTGTCGTGTCTTTTACACTAAACCGGATGTTGACTGCTGGATGACCCAAGGCAGAATGTGAAAACGTATCTCTGCTTATCATGGTTCAATGCATGTTTTCGGTAATGAATGAAATAAAACGAACTTTATATATTGGCCAGTAGAAATAACTCCTGCTAAAAGACCCAGACTGCTATTTGGAGCCGATATGACAGATATAAATTCCCTGATTAAATGCTACAAAGGACAGAGAGAGAGAGACTGGGCTGAGATGTTGACATGCATAAGCTGGTCAAGAACGCAGCAAGCACACTGAACACGATACTATCACTTTCAACTTTCATCCTTCAATGCTGCCGTCTTCCCAAACATTAGCCGACAGCCACCAACATTCTTTCTCTTTCTTTCTTCTTCTCCCACTCTGTTGCCCTTTACAACAGCTATGGGTAGTATGATGGCTTTGTATATATGTAAATAAATTATACATTTATTTACCCAAATTACAATGTATTCCTTTTCCTTGAATTTATGTTTGCTGAGGCAAAAAAGAAATTAATCTCTTTAGCAGTAACAACAACAGCAACAAATTCTGCCTTCCAGGTTACTCATTCTTTGTTTCTGCAACACTTCTGAGTAGCATTACATAACCTCAGTTTCAAGGGCATTTCTGACTTAGGCCCCTTCTTCTCCTCAGCCCATTTCTCATAAAAGACAGCGGTAACTCATCATCTCTGTCTCATTTCTCATCTTCGTCCTCCACTCCAGGTCTTTCTATCATCTCATCCAAATTTTGCTTCTGAGGTTTCCTTCTTAACAATACCTCCTGATTTGATATTTCCCTTAAGTTCTCACAGTTCTCATTACTGCTTTCCTTACCTCCGATAATGGATTCATTATCAGACTCCATTTCTTCTGGAACTACTAGTGACATGTCAATTGATCCCAAATGACAAAAGATAGGGGGCCTGTATCAATACTCATTTTTAGGATCTGTGTTCTCCTCAGATCTCTATCGGAGTTAGCTACTATATCCCAATGTTCCGTTATCAATCTTTTCACTTTAGTTCTAAAGCATTCAGGAGCCATAATCTCCTTCTCTTTATTTAACACCTGGTTCGAAAGTATGCCTATTCTCTCTCTCTTCTTCACTGTTATGGACAAGCGTATGGTTGCAAGAAAGAAATACGACAACAGTAGAAATAGATTTACGTGGTTTATTTCAACAGGAACGTAAGGGTTTAGGACCGCTACCTTGGTGTGGTAAAGTTCATAAGCCGGTTTCTGATCTAGGTCAACCTCTCATAGTAGTTCACACATGTTGACGGTGGTTGACGCTCCCCTGCTGTCAGCAGCTTGACGTGACAGGTCTCTATCCTGGGCACACCTGTGGACTGACTGTTGAACTTCCGTGTGACCCCTTTTATAGCGTTTTTTTATGGCTTAACAGGCTCGAGAAACGAAGTGAGTATAATTAGGAGGGAAGCATTTTTATTGGATGAAAAATAGAGCACTTTAATTATTATTTTATTTTTCGACCGGAACACGTGTGTCGGAAACATTTGTAAAGAAAGTTAATGGTCATTTTGTGACGGGGCTTTGTCCCGTTCACATCCGGTTCTCGCTCTTGGGTGTTTGCCTGTAAATCAGCCGAGATATGTCTTATTTTATAACATCACTATCACATGTTTCAAACTTCGAATGGGATGCATATGATATATCCCATTTCTTCTCCTTGTGGTATTTTATAGTGGTGTCTGAAGCATTCACAATCAAAAGAGGAACCTTTTCATTTCCTTCCACCACCGACTCACACAAAATTATCTCTTCCTCACCAGATTCATACTTGTTTATTGGAATTATCTGACACAAACCTTCTCGTATTTCTCCTTCCGTAATTAACCATCCCTCATAGCTGTCCATGGGAGTAATTTAACTTTTAACTTTAACTTTTAATTTTAACTTCACTTTCAGTGAATACTGTCAGTGTTTCCGATGCAGTGCTTTCCAAAGACAGTTTTACTCCTCCCACTACGAGGGTGTCTGGTTCAAACTTTATTTGAGCTTTTCGTCTTCTCAATCAATCTTCTTCCGACGTACGTAAATAATTGCGTCAGTTTTAATGAGCATAAACTGAGTTTGTCAATACACAATTTGACTTTTGCAGAGTGCTTTCCCTTGAAAAGTATTGCGCTGTTAAAAAAAATTCTGCATTTTGTATAAATTAATGATAGACAGTATCTCAGTCTGAAAATAAGAATAATTTATCCTTAGCGTCTGTTTACAAAGTTTGTAAGTAGAATAGATAATATTTACAGTTGAATAAATTTTTATTAATATTTTTGTGGGTAGTTGATAAGTTTTATTTAAAAAACAAATTTTCTGTCATTCAACTTTTTTCATCTTAAAAATATGTATATATTCTCTGTATTGTTGTTAGTTTATTGTTGGATAATAATTAATCTTTACAACAGTATAAGATTTATTAATTTCATTTTTGTAAAATATAAGTTATAATGATTTAAATTTGGAGGAGAATTAGTCACAGTGCACTTTTATTTTGTGTGAATTTATGGCAAACTATTTAAACCGGAAAGATAAATGCTTTTTCATTATTGTTTATTTACAGATTTAGTATCACTGCAAAATAGGATAAATAATCATAAATTTATATAAATTCTAATGATTTGTGATCAGTTTTAAAGTTAGTAACAAATTGCAAATACAAGGCTGATAAAAAGCATGAATTTTCTCTACATGCTGTATTTTAATATAGTGCAAATTCCTTTTATAAATTAATAAAAAAAATAATCATTTTATTTGTATCTAGAATATTTTATATTTGAGCTATATGGTATATTAACCCCTTAGTTGATTATCCTAAGTGTATTTTATTATTTTCAGAGTATCAGGAGTTCATTTGTTCATCAAATAACCTTTGATTTAATATTTGGACATTGTATTCCATTTTAGAGTAACAAAACCTTTTTATAATCAGCAACATATATTTATAGAATCAGTAGCAACAGCAAGAGTTATGATTTTAGCTATTTTTTAAATAAATGTCATGACTTATAAACTGAAAAAATTCTTCATTTGCTAGTGTTGATTATATTTTTCTAAATAAATATATTTTATATAAATATGTCTTTTTATACAGTAGTGTTATAGCTTTAGGGATGAAATCTGGTAAATTGTGGGAGCTTGCATTTTATAGACTGTACATGTTTTAAGTAAAAAAAAAAAACATTTGCATGAGAATATGCTCACAAGTGAAAATTTTGGATGGAAAATATTGATCTAGTAAAGTGTTAATTTAATAACATAACATTTAATAGCATAAACAGAAGTAAAAAATTAGCCAACATTGGAAACTTGCTTTATGTATGTCATTATACAGAAGGTAGAATTTGATTGAAAGATATAATAGTTCATTGCAGCCAAATATTTTGATTCTCCTGATTTAAATTAATCTAGTTATTGATGTGATGGAATAACCTGCCACCCCCCCCCCCCATGAGTGGTGGCACTATAGGTGGTAACCACTTATAAGTATCCATGAGGACAGCGGACGAGAGAGTCGAGATGGAATCTGTGAGAACTAGCAGTCTTCCGATAACAGCATGTACACAACTGTACTGATTTGCGACGACCATGCGCATAACTATTACTTCCTTGCTTGTTGTACTGGTTTCTACAATAAACTTGTTTCTATTTATCCACCATGTTTGTCCATTCTATATTTCTATTAGCACACAATATAACAGTTATTATTTTCCCTTTTTTCAGCTATCAGTCATGTAATCATAAGCAATAAATATCTTCTATGACCTTGATAAATACTAACTTATGAAGCAATCTTTAATCTAAATAAATGAAACACAATATATATATTAAAAGTTATTTTGCTGTTTTCTAATAGCTGTGAAGTTGATTGAAATGTAAATTTATACCAAAAGCTTGTACAACAATAATGATAATAGCAACACGTCAAGTATTTAGGTAGATGTGTTAACTCATCATGTAGGAAAGGATTTACTGTCACTGCAAGTTCTGTAGTTTAACTGCAAGTGGTGGAAATTTCTGCTATGATTGATGCTTGAAACATAAGCTTTTGAAAAATCATTGTATAAATTATTTAAAATAATTTACTAAACATTTTATGACAATTTTGGTGCTAAAAATATGTTTTAAATGCAACTCATAAAAATTATTGAAGAATAACTTCTTTACATAATTTTACTATTGAAATGTAGGAAATTAATAAATATTTACAAATATTATATAGTTAATTTATTTTACAAATTATTTTTGCAAGTAAGTGTTCAATAACATATTAAAATTATCAGATGTACTAGAAATTGACAGGATTCAGTGAATAATTAATGTAATTTGAATTCCTGTAACTTGCTTAGGATAAATTATATATTTTAAAAGTACTTCTGCTGGGATAATAAAAATTTAATCTCACCCAAAATTAATAATTTAAAAAAAAAATTAAAACAAAAAATAATTATAATACAACCAATACAATCAACAGATAAAAGTTACATCTCTTGTAAAACAAAAAAACTGAAGTATAAATTATCATAGTTCCCAAAACATCATAACAAATTATACGATTGTAAAGCTTGTTTATTCTGCTTTTCAACAAGACTAACCAAATTTATGGACATACAATATGTAAAACAAGTCCATGAAATTAAGAAATGTATAGTAAGAATACATGCCAAAAAATAGAACTTCCCTAAAACTGTGCAATCATTAACATATCAATTTTTATTTGATTTGATTTCTGTCAAAAGGTGATCAACAGTTCTTTGATGAGTGGATTTGAAGAATCTGTGCCTGCCTCATCCAATTCCTTGCAGGACATGGTTGATACTCTTATGCCAGACACTGAAAAACATGAAACTGCATCTTCAACCGTTCCAAACCACACAAAGTCAGACGTCCGTAGCAAATTAGTGTAAGTACTGAAATAATGTTTACAATTGGACATAAAACATTATGATTGGACCCAGGTGATTGTCATATGAAGATCAAATATGTTTAGTATTAAAAACTTATCAAAATTAGAGAATAAAATCTGAACCCTGTGTCTGGTAAAGTTGGCACATAATGCAATAGAAAATCAATATAGATTTTTAAATATGCATTCATACTTCCTTGGCATAAGATATTGCTGAAATTATAGACTGATGATTACAAAATGTTTTCACTTCAATGGTAAGTTTTCAACATATTTACTCATGTTATGACGAAAGATAATCTTATTTTTCTGTCAGCAGTGCAATATTATATATATATATATATATATATATATATGTATGCTTAACAATGTTAAATCCTGTGAAAGGATGGCTTTAGTCATAACCTGAGTTTCACACGATTTTCATATATACTTGAAGAGTTTCAGGTTTTGGTAAGTTGTCCATTGGTTCTATCAACAGTTTTTGTTTTCTTTTATATATATATATATATATATATATATATATATAATATCATGTTTGTGAAATATCCTATTTTGAATATATCAAGAATGGTCATGATTACTGAGCATGTATAAACAGACTCTATTTTGAGATTACTCAAATGGCAAGTTAGATGCCATTAAGTGTGCATTGTGTGACTGTTGCATTTAAAATTTGTTTAAAACTTCATTCATTTACAGAAACTACTTGAAATATTAAGGTTTTGGGGAAATTATTCAAGCGAAATAAAATTTTGGTACTGATGTTTTAAACTTGGTCAAAGTTCTGCTGAAAGTGATCTGCATTTTGAAAAACTTCCAAAAAGCAGAAAACTTGAAACTGTTGATTATGTGCTTTTAGTTGATTGAAAGGAAATCAATAAGAGAATCTGGGCATTTTCCCAAATGGTCGTTAAAATATATAACCATTTTGAATATCTCAACTGCCTGTTCTATATGTCTTGTGCAGGAGATTTTGTTAAAAAATCACATCACCCAAGTCTGTTAGCTCCTTTATACTCTAGATTTGCCTTGTTCCAAAGATCACATTACAGTTAATTGTTTTAAAAAATGAAAGGGATACTATTTATAAGGTCATAAGAAAAGCACTTTGAAGAGAACTTAAGTGCTATTGCCTCAAATATTAAATTTTAAATAAATGTTTTATTTTAAAATTTTAATTTATTGTTTTCATCCATTGGACACATGGCCCAGTGGATAAAAGTGTTGGTTGGATCCAGTGAGATGACTCAAAGAGTTGTAAGTTCAACACTTGGCTACTGCAGTGGTAAACAAAAACTTTACAAGTTGAGTTAAAGGGAGATAACTGAGACATCTGGAAGAGGCATGGCACGTGGAACTAGAACAATATACTCTAGTGGACGAAATAAAGGGATCAGTTCGAAATTCCAATCACCTGAAGAAGGCTGGAGCATATAATGGCTGAAACGTTGTGAATATAGCAACAGTCCAAACAATGTAAATAGTATACATTATACCATAAAATTAAAAAAACAAAAACTTCAAATTCTTGAAGTCCTTTATATAAAAAAATACAACCAACACTAAATATGATTAATTATGAGTATAGCAACAATATTTTAAATATACCTAAATTGTAATTTTTTTAAATTACAGTTGTAACAGCAATGTTTTAAAATACTTAAATTGTAATTTAAAAAAAAAATTACAAATATAAATTAAGTTACCTCCCTTAGATAACGTTAATTTTTTTAATTAACAGACCATGTTTCATGCGCATTTATAAAAAAATTCACAACTATCAATTTCATTAATTTTTTGTCTTAACAATTCGCCCCTGAAGATGATCTTGGATGAAATTGAAAGAAATTGGAAAAATAAAAGAAATGAAAAAATCATGGCATCTTGTTTAATAAGTTTAATAACAACATTAAGAAATTGATCCATGAATTTGAGAGGATTAAAATAAAAATAGATATAATATGTTTAGATTATTCAACTAAACATGATTGAATGAAGATATGCTGCCTAAATATACCTACATATATATTTTCTTTCATATTGTATAATTTTGTTAATTTTTCTACAGGACCATTTGTTTTTTTATTATTTTTTGTTTGCTTTACTTAGCTGGTTCACATTATACTAAATAAAATGTGGTTGGAGTTTTAAAATGTGAAGGAATTTAAAAATGTAATAAATATTTTTCAGCCATTCAGAACATAGAGAATTCAAACCATGGCCTGTACCATTCCGTATTCCAACTCATTTATTCCGTCCTGAGCTGAAGTCGACACTAGCTTCTAAACAGATTCTCAGTCGCAAAATGAAATCTGCACTTATACAGGCAATTTATGATGAAATGATCAACTACACTGTGTAAGAATGTGTTTCATTTTCCCAATATCTTTTACATTTTATAATTTTCTTTTTATTTTAACATTTATAATGTATATGTACTGAATGACTGTCTTTTCATGTTAATTTGTGTTTTGTAAAGAAATATTATTTGGCTGCATTTGTTTCATTATATGAAAAAAATTGATTGTATTTTATTTATTTTTATTTTTAATCATTTTACCCCAAGCAAGGCAGGAATGCCACTAGTACGCAGGATGTTACAGAGAGTGAAGGTGAGAGAAAATACTGGGTATAGGGGGAACCAAAGAAAGAATAAAAGCTGATCGGTGTTCAAGAAGATAGAAGATGGCAATTAATGTTGCATTTAAATTTCTGAAGATTGTAGTTTTCAGGGAAGTAAGTAAAAGGAAGGGAGTTCCACTGTTGGGAAGTGTGAGAAAAAAAACTTTTGGAGTAGAAGTGGTGGTTACATTTAACTATGTCAACAGTCACGCTTAAATTTACGTAATCCGGGCACCAGGGAAAAAAGCTTGTCAGAGCAGTTGCCATGAAAGTATTTGTAGAAAAGACAGAGGGAATCCATGTCATGTCAGTGAGAAAGTGACTAAAGTCAAGATGCCAAGTCAGGATTGATTACATTGCAGATCCTTCTTTGGATTTTGTCAAGAACCTCGAGATGAATAGCATGTGTACCAGACCAGACATGACAACAGTATTTAATGCACAAACGAATGGTAGATTTGTAAATGTGCACGATGGACTCTGACAAGTAAAACCTTCTGGCATGACACAGTGACCCAACTTTCCTTACAGTAGATGCAGCTATTGATTCGATGTAGTCATTCCACTTCAAGTCAGTTGAAAACTTGAGGCCAAAAGGTGCAGTGTGTTGCTCTCCAGGAGTCTAGCATCAGCCATGCTGATGGCAGGCATTAAAGTTTCTCTATAGTGGTTAAATGATATCAATTTTGTTTTGGAAACATTAAAATTTACAAGCCATTTCCTGCCCCAGTTAACCACTGATTGGAGGTCCTTTTCAAGAGCAGTTTTTCAGCTCTGACAAATTTGCTATTGAGACAGGAGTAAATGATAATATCATTAGCATAAATGCCTACTTGGGAACTGATGACATCAGGAACATCATTGATGAAGATCAAAAACAGCATAGGACCCAGGATAGAGCCTTGGGGGGACACTCATGTTTGTGTGAAAGGATTTGGAAGTGAGCCCATTCAAAACAACCTTCATTTCATGATTTGATAGGAATGACTGGATTAAATCAAACAATTGCCCAGTAATACCATAGCCCTGGAGCTTGCATAGAAGACCAGTTCATTAATAATGAAAAAAGTTTATTAAATAAATTTAGCCATATTTCTTTCATGTTATTGTAAAAGTTATTTCATTTTAAACTTGAATTGCCTTTGTATTTGTTCTTGGATATGTTTAAAATTATTCTTTTTATAAAAATAATTACTTGTTTTAGTTTTAGATTCTAATTTAAAAATCATTTTCAAGAAAAAATATTTTTTCACATATTTTGCACACTTTAGTATATAAACTGAAATGTCAAAAACTTAAAGGCATTGAATGGTTACATTCTTGATGACTTATAGAAATTAACTTGGCTAGATGATGTATGTGTAATATGACAGTATAAGGATATAGTGTCGATATTACAAACATGGGTTGTGAACAGAATTTAACATTATTTGATTATGGAATGATTGATTCTTGGAGACAGAAAGATGTCAATAGGATAACTTGGATAACAATAGCAAGGGTATACAAGGAATAATTCCAGACAGATACCAGTAGCATGTGAATACTTTGGGCACCTCTATCTGATGCAAGAACAGGATTGCTGGCAACTGATGAGGTTGGTAACCACCAAACAAATACTGTACAGCATACATTGCATTTCATGGGGTCTTGTAGTCCTCGACTAACAAGGGTACCATTATTAGCACTATGCCATTGTTTACTGTGCCTCATCTGGGCTAAAGAGCATTGCTTATTGAGCCATTGAAGATATGTTTCTTCTGGGCTGTTGTAGAGGAATTTAAAATTCTTTGTAGACTCCTTACCATATCATATAGATGTCATCATTCAGTTGAGAGGAGCTAGTTGTCTCTAATTGTTTGGCACCTGTTTAGAATGCAAAATGATATTGTGGTCCTGTTTAGTATTGTTTACAATGAAAAATAGAATATATCAATTTTATCTGTTTTTCTAGCTTTTATAAGTTCTCTCTTATTATCTATACACTCATAAAGATGAGAAACAACGACAGAGTATGATTGAATAAAGAAGTCACAAATTTTCAATAACTGACCAAATTTATTCTCTTGCAGCAAATAGTAATTGTTCAAAATGGGATTTTGTTCATTATTTTTCTTCCTTTAGAAAGAAAATCCCTTTATGTCACTGAAACTTATTTTTATATTTCAGTTATCCCACATCTTCTCAATATAAAGAAGTAGCAATGGCCATTATCACTGAGTATTCTCATCTTCGTGATAACATCCCAGGGAGCAAGGGTTATGTAAGTTAATTTTTCAATGCCTACCAATGTTTTAAAAATATTTTGATTTCTAAAGTGAAGGTAATTCAACTTTTTGGGTATTGTAGATTTTGTACATAAAATAGTTGTTTTTACCATGGATGAATTTTTGAATTTTTTCTTGTTCTTCAGAAACTTGTTGAATGTTGTTTACTCTGGACTGCAAAGTAGTAGCTAAGAAATTCATTATTCTTTATTGCCTTTTCAAAAAACAGAAACTAAATCAGTTGCTTATAATCAAATGGATTCATTAAGACTTAAAACAATTACATTCATAAAGTGTTAAGAAAGAAACATTTCCTTTGAAATATTTGCAAAGTTTGATGTCATTGGTCAGGCAAGATTATTGAATAAGATTAGCTTAGTTTGAAAGAAAGACAAAAATGTCAGATACTCAGTACAGTAGTAATGGTTGTGAGACTAGCTTGTTAATCATTACTCCATGATGAGGTATATGAAAAATCCATAATCTTTATGTGCTACTTTAAAATGTTCAAAGGATAAAAATGTAACTATGAAAATATGTAACATATTACAAGTTTTGACTATTCTAGTGATACTGAAAAAAAATATCCTGATTGTTTTTAATTGCTTTGTTAGAATATTTTTGTCTTGGTTTTTTAGGAATCTTGGTCTGCTACTCTCTCAGACAAATTTCGCAATGAACGTCGTATAATGACAAATATAGAAGTTGTGGAGAAGCGTAAACGTCGGAGAGTTGTGACTGAGCCTGAGTCATCATCAGGTGATCCAAGTGAAAAATCTGCTGCCGTCCCTTCCTCCTATCGACAAACACAAGTAAGATTATTAATTTTTATTAAAATTGTTGTAGTGTTTATTTTAAAGAACCATTCTTTTGTAATTTGTATAATATAAATGCATCTCTAATCATTATATGATTGAAGATTTCCTAATTGCAACACTTCAGATAAGTTCATTTTTTTTTAATCATTTCATCCCAAAAAAGCCACTAAGACACAAGGTGTTACTGAGTGTTAGAGATTGTTATAAAAAAAAAACACTATTAAGGAGACAGAACAATAAAAGAACAAGAATTAAGAAGACAGAAGATAACAATTGACATTGCATTTAAATCTTTTAAGATAAAAGTTGTCTGGGAAGTAAGAAGCCAGAGAGAGTTTCACAAATGAAATAGTACAATAGAAGAAACTGTTAGCATTGAACTTAAATATATATTACATTACACATACACAATCACAGATTCTCACATCAATGATTAAAAAAAACTGGCTTTAAAGTTGTAAGTCTTAGTGAGGACCATTCTCCTTCAAATCTTGTAGACTGGCGCTACAGATTTTCATTTTTTGGAACACTTGATATAGGATGATGATTTTCTGTTCAAGATTATTTTTATCCCAATTATATACCTATGTTTTCCCCCGTACATACCCTAGGCAGATCAATTGGTTTTTGTGTGGCCACCACCCAAATACCATCAGCTATACTTGTGGCAACAGTGTTTGTCAATACGTCTACTTGGCAATTCTTCTTAATCCCTTCTCTATTGTCTTTAAACAGTTCAAGTATACATAACCTGTGATTACATATGTCACATATATAAGCCTTAGTGAAGTACATGTTCCCAAGACATCATCCCTACATTTCTTTGCTTCCTCTTCTGTCAGCATTATAAATTTTGTCCTAGCTGAATTCAAAGCTACATACTCTGCTTCAATTTGATATCTCACCACTACCTTCTTCTCTTTAGTTTCCCATCTTCAACCTTTCCTTCTTTTGATCAGCCTTCAGCAGGCTGATTGATTCAGACAGGTGTGTGACACTTTCACCCCAAATGTCTTGTCTCATCAATACCACTGCTGGCCAAAAGACAGCATCAACAATTAAATTCTTTTGCCCTCCGTGATATGCATTCCACACCTCCATCCTCTCCAACCAACCATACTGTTTGTTACTGAATAAGGTTTCGAACGAGCCTGGTGTCAGAGTGCAATAATGCCGAACCCATCCATCCCTTTCTTCACAGCCATATTTCTTATTGAGATTTAGGGTTCCCTGCCCCTCTCAACCTCTTCTTAAGGGGTAACTCTGGCTCAACCTCTAACCTTTCTTCATCCCCTTTATCTTCAGTGGGGTCACTGTCCGCCTGGGTGATTTTTATATCTCTTTCTTGTGTTAATGTGGAGAACACTCTGGCTCTCCTTCTCCTGGGGCTGTGGTTGTCCACACACCCAGACAAGGGTTGGAACGTCCACTGCCCTATGGCCTTCGTGACGACATGTCTAATACGTTGGCCACTGTTCTAGCTTTCTTATCTGGCCTGGTGAATGCCTGAAGCCAATTTGTCAGCCAATCCACTTCATTGGTAATAAGCCACTATTACTAAAATATTCTTTATACAATATCAATCAGATATTTCCTTCTTGTGTTTTAAAAACTCCTCACCTCATGGTGACATTACAGGCTAATGCCGCATCATCCCCACACCAAGCAATGGGGTGGCCCGCGTCCAAAAACAATCTCACCAGTGACATTAAGTTCGACTTTATCCAATAGTCAACCGATAGTCTATATCTCATAATGCAATAAAGTAATTCTTTGATCAACCCCTTTGTTTGAGCAATGAAAGAAAAATAAATTATTAACCGCTTTCTTTTCTTTTAAATGCCTAAAAAAATAGTTTTTACTTCAATAGGTGGCTTCTAAAATCTGATTTCAATTGTTCAAGTGTTCAAGGCGTTTCAAGCCAAAACCCAAAATTTCATCACAGGGGACATCGTTCTGTTCCTTCTCCTGAGTCTGTTCTCTACTTCTTTTTTCACTAAATTTTATACTTTCTATGGACCTTAATAGTAGAGCCTTTCCTACCTCTTCCCCTTTTTTACCTTAATTTTCTTGTTAGCCTGATTAGTCAACAGAATAGGTATTACCTCTGCTGCATCTACCATGGACTCACACAAGACCACTTCGCTTTCTTTGGGGCTATGTTCCTCTACTGGGGTCAGTTGAAAAACTCCTTCTCCTATTCCTTCTGTTGACATCATCCTATCCTTACCTGATAGAGCTGTCCTTGGTGGTAATTTTATGTCCTCATCAACCACCACTGACTCTGACTTATCTGGGGTGCTCTCACTAATGGCACCTCTACACCATTGATAGTCAACACTGAGGGGTTGAACTTCACTTTTGCCCCTGTTCATGCAATCAATCTCCACCCAAGGACATCTCCCCACAGAAATCCTAGGCCACATAGAATTTGTGGACACTGGTTGTCTCTCCTACTTTCACTGGGAGCCTTACCATTCCTGTTCTTCATTGGCTTCCTGTCCACCTGATGAATCTCTATATCGGGTCTCCTTAACCCATCCCACAGCTTCAGGCTTTTGTACTATCAAGGCCATCATTAGCTTCCCCATTACTACAGCTTCACAGGAAAGTTTCTCCTTTTGGGTCAGCAAGGAAAACACCTTGGCTACCCTCCCTCTGGGGCGATGTCCCTCTGTGCATTCAGACATGGGTTCTGACAACAATGACTCTTCATCATCACTACAGCGTGGGATCCACAGCTGTCTTCTTCTATGCTATGGTGCACCCAAGCTCTCCCTAGGTCTACCCTGTCTATTTCTTTAGGGGCAGCTGGCAGCAGAATGGCCACCTTGGCCACATGTCCAACATTGCATCTTTTTCCTGTAGGGTGTCTTGGTTTGTTACAGAACCAGCACTTTCTTTAGGGAAGTTGGCATCGAAATGGCCAACTCAGTTACATACCCAGCACCTCATTCTTTTCTTTCTCACATAGGTCACCCTCCCTCTCACTTCTGGCATGGCCAATTGTCGTTTCCCTGGTTCTGTTTTCCAGGGCCAGGCTTCTTAACCTGTATTGGTAGGGCACCTTTCTTAATCCCACACCATTTAGTTTTATGTCTCCTACGGCCACACTTTGTATATTTGTCATCTTTGAAATCCAGGGGTAGTCCCCACTTTGTTGGGCAGCTGACTGCCCTGTGACCCTTATGGCAACAGGTTCAAGAGATTAACCTATACTTTGTGGGTGTGGGCTTATAAAACCCATGTTGGAGTGACCAAGCCTTTCTTCCGGGAACCTCTTCCCATTCCTCTGGTTCGACATCCTCCTTAACTTTCCTACTCCACATAGGGCTTCCTCTTCCCCACCGTCTGCCTGTCTACCTCCCAACTTTGTGTGCCTTTTTCCTCTTAACCTTCTCCCACACCTCCTGGCTATCCTTCACTGGTGCCTATTTTATAATGTCATGCCGTATGCACTCATAGGTCAGCCAGCTGGGCCTGCATAACAGCGTTACTCCTGATCTCTCCCAGAAATGCCAGAGTGGCCAGCTTCTCTGCCTTAGCTCCTAGCTCCCCAGGGGTTTCATCCTTCAATTGCACTGGTTTCATGAGGCTTCTCATCACCTCAGTCACTGTCCCCTCATCAACATAGTTCTTTATAAGTAGATCATCCAGCAAGTGATACCCTATGAAATCCGAAACTGTCCCCATTGCAGTGTTATATGCCACATACACCATTTCCCTGTCAGACATATATATGAGCTGTCCTTTCTCGATTGATGCTAGCCAATCTTTCAGTTCTTTTGGGTTCTCCCCTAAGGCTGGGACCCTGAGTCCTCCTAACAATTCCCTCAGGCCACTAGTGGGTTGTTGCCCTGCCACCTCATCCTCAAAATGTACCACTTCAGACCTCTCTGACCATGTAAAAAAAAAAAAAAAATCGGAAAAGGGGCAAAAAAAAAAGATCAAAAAAAGCAATTCATCTTGGTAAGGCACAACAACAAAAAAAAAAAATTGAGAAATTTCAGAGAAAAACCAAAGTGTCCTACCTGTCTCTTGTTCCTGGGTTGCTGTCAATTTATCGAGAGAATAAAAATTAGAGAGTGTATTTTTAGAACTGTATGGTCAAAATGACCAAAGTCTGTTGGTTCTCACTCCTTTTCTTGTCTCCTTCCTTTCTGTTGTCTGGATTCTTGGGTTGGTTGTAGTCAACCCGAGGTCAAATCACACCAAATTGTAATCTTTCAGAGTTAATTACAACACCCTCCCAGCCATTCAAGACTTCTAACCAAATGTGGTCCTCAGGGTCAATGTGATTTGTTTGTCATAAGGCAGCCAACCAAATGTAATGTACATTTGTTTATATCAGAGTTCGCATGCAATTATCAGCCCAACCTGCATCTAAATCAGAAGTGATATTGTTGTTGACTTAGTAAACTTTGTTTTGACTTGTAAAGTTTTGGTAGAGTTTTGCATGTTGTTTTGGTAGAGTTCGGCACAAGGCTGAAGTCGGGGGGTTTCTCTTTGGCAGGCAATCACGTGGTGGTGGGGTATCATGACCAGTGGCTCAGACGAACTCTCTGCTGTCTCTCTCCTGTCTTTGTCTCCATTGCTGTCTGACGAAGTTGTTTGTGCATTCATATTTATTGACATTTGCTCAAACTGGTGCGAGGTACAGCGCATAGGGGGATTTTGGTAAATCCTCTTTGTTGTCAGCTTACTTCATAATTCTGGGAAATTCCCTTCTTCCACTCTCTCATCTTATTACCTCTCACTAAATCTCCTCAGTGAGCATGGGTGGCTCATCACCCCCTCCTGGTATTTTAACTCAACTTTTAACTAGGAGAAATCAACTCCAAATTAATTGTTTATGAAAATGAAGTTTTTGCTTTACAGCTTGCATTTTCATCTACATAGAACATGTCAATCATCATTGCCCTTTAAGTCTGGGTTATTTTCCATTGTTCAAATCCTTGAAATACCAAATCCAGGTGCCATCTATACGTGAATTAAATCAATTTTTCCCATGGATTTTAGGTATTAACCCTTCTTGTTCCAAAGTCTTTCAGTATATCACTCCTTCTATCCATAAGAAAATTTTCCTATGTTTTACTGTGGTAACAACAAATAGTATAACAGTTGTACCTCAACACACCAACTTATAACAAATGTTCAAAATGTTCTCCACTTACTTCAAATACACACATGCACCCATCAGATCATTGAATGATGGATCCTTTCAAATACTCCCACACAGTGTTGAATGGTTTCGCTGGTCCCCATGGCACATTGATGAACATTTTTTGCATTATTAATGTCTGCATAAACCAATTGTTTTAGGTGGCCCCACAGATAAAAATCCAAAGGATTGAGGTCACCAATAGCATACTTCACAAAAACCTATTTATAGATTTAATGAAATACTTCTTGGAAAAAGTTTTCTTTTTAGTTCAGGTATAATTTTAAGTATGACAATTTATTTCTATATGAGTGGATGCTGGAAAGTTCTCTGTATGACTAAGATGCTTTTCCAAATAAAATTCTGATGTTTGGTCAGATTTTGGGAAGTAAGTCTTACCAAGAACTTTTAGCACATCCTTTTATTCACAGTTGATGCAGAGAGTTGATGCAGAGAGTTGGTGCATAATATTTTCTATTAAAAATGTATAAATACTCACAATCTCTAAATCTCTTGTGTATTGTGATGCATATCATATTGAATAAACTGTATAACTTTACAAAACAGAGCTGTTGTTATCATGTTTGTTCTGATTCACTATTGGGATGCTTAAATAGAAAATGTTAACTTTATGTTTTCACTGTTTATATTAATGAATAAAGAACAGATATTAGTTGTGATTTTAGGAAAATTATGTTATATCAAGATAACATTCTTGATGAACTGAGACTTTCTCTTATTTTTATTTATTATATCTCTCTGTAATCTCTTTGCAATATTTAAAGAATTACTAAATTGAATGTTTTTAAGTAAGAGTAGATAGGAAAGGCAAATGCTGATATTGGAAATTATTTTATCCTGGATGATAGGTGGGCTAGCTAGTTATTTTCATATCTCAAGTGAAACAAAACATTTAGAGGAAAAACAAAAACCTCCTGAAATATTAGTGCAATATAAAGAAAACTCTAAAATCCATATAAATGTAAAATTCTTTTTAAACTAATGCATTCTTAAATAATAATTTAGTAGTTAGAGTATTGGATTGAAGGTCAGTAGTTAACTTGAAAGGGATAAGTATTTTATGACTGAATAAAAGTGTTTCATTTTACACTTGTAAAATCTGTGATAGTTTGTGATCTATTTCAAGAGCTAAAGCATTAACTTATTGGAAGATTTAATTTGTAATGTTACTTAATTCATTTACCTTGAAGAAAAACAATCTGTGAAATAGAAGCAAAGATATAATTTTTCTTGATTAGCATTTTTATACTTATAAATTGAAAAAGTTTCTTCAGTTGATTCAGTGTCAACCAGCAGTATTATTTCTAGCAATTTACTGTATTATTTGGGTAACTATTTGTGTAAAAATGTAACAAGATGTTCATAGTAATTAAAAAATATTTTATCACTGCTTCTGTAGAGGATAGCCTCAGGTATGCTGAAGAAGAAATTAAAAAAAATTTCAACACACACACACACACACACACACACACACACACACACACACACACACACACACACTCGTTACTCTTTCAGTTTTATATTCCAATAAAACAAATGCAGTTAAAAATGTCTCTTTATTTTTAGCTATTTCTAAACTACTTGACTTAATACACATTATCTGGTATTTTTCTGGTTTTGTTTTTGGCTTTCTTATCAATACTTGGAGCAGTAGCTTCTCTATGGAGGTTTATGATTTTAAATTGTCATTAAAATCAAGTCACCAGCTGTTACAATGAAATAAGGATAAAGAGTCATTCATCACTAATAGCCAGAATAGTCCAATTTTTCAGAAATACAAATGACACAGAATATTTAGTATTTATAGTATAGAGTAAATTCATGAAATCTGGATTAGACCCATCTCATTCACCATCTTGAAAATTTATACAAAATTATTTAGTGTTAGATACGATAAAATCTTGGAAACTTTCTGTCTGGTATCTTAGAATTTGAAGGTCCATAGCTGAAACAAAAATAAACTATGTTGATGTTGTTAATTATTGTCCTAATCCAAATTCAAATACCAATTTTAAAGCAGGTTTGTTATTTTGAAGTGCTATGAATTCTTTTCTTAACAAAATAGCTGCAAGGCATTTGTATTTTAAATTCATCTATATTGCTCTCTTTAAAAAATCAATATTTATAATGATAATCATTTTTGTAGTATTTTCATTTAGAGTTAATTCTTTTGATTTCTGATTGAGGCAATAATTATTATCAATTTTTATTAATTTCTTTCTCTGTAAATGTTCTTTGGCTTTTTGTCAAATTAAGTTAAACTTTTGTAAATGTTATCAGAATATGTTTTGGCATTTCTCTCTTTCAAATACTGAGTTTTTGTTACTCATATCAAGTGAACATTTTATGCTCCTTGCTTTTGGTTTATCCTCATTTTTTGTGTCCACATGTTCAAAGAATTATTTTGCTAAATCAGCTTTTAGTCTCTTCTCTTTGGACAAATCTGTGTGTTAACATACACTTTCAGTATTTAAAAACATAGTCTTAGTTCTACTTAGTAGATAGAATGAAGAATATTTTCTCAAATCAATTATTTCACTATAAAATAATGTTTGTAATTGTGTAAGTTCTGGTCAAAATTTCAAAGATTTTACAATATAATTCTGTTGATTCCATTTTTGAA